CACTTCAACTTTACCAAGTAGTCGGGGCTGTTATGTAGTGATTTTGAGCCCCGTGCCGATTTAATGTTGATTTTACGTGCTTGGTATCACTTTAAAGAACAAAGTTCATATTTTCAAATTTTGTAGTTTCCACAACAAAAAATTCCAAATTCAAGATGGTGGAAGCGTGATGACTTCACTGTTTTATTTTGTTTGAAACATTATGATAATGAATTCAAGCACTTAATGAACAGCAACATCTTGCCAATTTTTGTGTGAAATGATTCCTTTTAATAGGTAACAGGTAAATAGTTACGTCATTGAAAAAGTGACGTCATATGCAGGAGATTGGCGGCCATGTTTGTTTATGGAGCTCTTAAGGTACTAATAGGACACTTTTGTGTGTATAATGAGTTTGTTGCCCATTACTCAATTGAAACACAGTGTGACAAGGACAAACTATAGTAGCTGTTTGATTTGTCAAGTTAATACCACAAAGAAAGGCAGTAAGAACAAAGTAGTGACCCCTTCTTCATCAACTTTTTCAAAAAATTCTAGAAACAGTTCATCTTCGTGCCAAATATGGTGAGAACGAATTCATTTTAGTAAATGAGAGATTGCAAAATGAATCTGTAGTGAATCTAATAGACAAGAATGCTGTATACCATCGAGTTTGCTATCAGTCATTAACAAACAGTGATCACATGAAGCGATCAAAAGCTAAATTTCTATCTATTTCAAATGAAACTAGCCCCACTTCCCAAAATTCGCCACCACTCCCAAAAAAGAGAAAGACTCGTTCAGGAGATGGCATATTTGACAGTACGATATGTTTCTTTTGCCAAGACACATCAAATACCAAGCCATTACATCAGATGTCAACTGAGAATGTAAATAATAAACTGGAGGACACTGTCCATAAATCTAACAAAGAAAATTTGAAAATAAGATTGCATTCCTCTTTTGATGCAAGGTCTGGTGATTTTAAATATCACAAGCACTGTTGGGTAAATTATGTAGATCGTGCTAAAGAACCATCTTATGACAAATTTGAAAACGCAGACGATATTCATCGAAAATCTGTATTAATAGAGGTAGTAAGTGCTGTAAAATGTGCTATTATTAAAAATCATATTCTATCCATAAGAAATATCCACAAACTGTACCAATTATCTTCTTCTCTATACAAATCTGACAGATGACAGAGCAGATAAATCCTAAATTGGCTGGCTTAAAGAGCAGCTTATTAAAGAAATACCAGAAATATGTTTTGAACAAACAAATCAGGTAAATCAACTGAGTAGGGTTTTCTTTAGTGGCAATGCGTCTGCAATAACAGAATTGGCTATAAAACAAAGTAAGGAATTTGACACTGACGAAGATTTGACGATTTTATGGAAAGCTGCTGGAACTTTAAGGAGAGAGATTTTGGAAAAGAAAAAAAAGGATAAAAATGAATTTGAATATTTTTCAAGTGATATTCCACTAAAACTCAAGACATTTCAGCGTTGGCTTGTGGTGGGTAAACGAGAAATGCACACAGAATGTCATCGTGATCACATGATAAACCAAAAGATACACATACAGTGTAACTCTACAATGTTCAACGCATTCACAGATTGAGAAGCACCGTACAAAAGCTCATCGGAATCCGTAGTACATCTTCGACAGACCTACGAAAACGACCAATTTGTTCGTCTAGGGCTGACTTTGAGACAGTTAGGAAGAAGTAAACGATTGATCAACCTTCTATATAGAATGCAACTTTGTATCTCAAATGATAGATGCTTGCAATGGGAAACATATCTGGCGAATGGTGTTTTGAAGAATATGGCAGCTAATAATGGAGTTTATATACCTGAATCAATGCAGAAGAATGTATTTATACATTTTCATATCGATAATGTAGATTTTGAAGAAGACACAGAGGATGGTAAGGGAACAACACATGTATTTATGATGGCTGGATTCCAACGTGGTACTTTGGATTTACCAACAGAGAGTTGTGATATTAAAAGGCACCTAAATTCTGAAAAGTCTGGTCTGAAGCTGATCGAAAATGATTTTAACAAAATTCTTGATTGCCCCAAACCATGTGGGTTGTAGGTTGTTCCACTAATCATTCAGTTATTGATAAATCTCTAACAAATCCATGTTCTATACAATTACCATTGATTCTTGTGAAATCATTAGAAAATCAACGTTTTATATCTGAATCATTTCAGACTACTGATGATAACTACCTCACTGTACACCCGTGGAATGCATATAACTCCATAATCACTAATTCCGAGGCAGAGAGAGATTTCACAACAAATGTGTTTATGTTTCCTTTGATACCAGCACCAGCATCAGATATTTCATCAGTTTATACAGCTCTAAAACGATCACAGACGATATCAACCTGGGTAGGTGGTGATGATTGTAAAACAGTGATTTCATTGGACCTTGATTTATATACTAGAGCTTATAATCTTGTACATTGCAGAACTGATCTTAGAGATACATTTATCATACGCTTAAAGGTGAACTTCATACCATATTTGCACATTTACGAGCCATAGGGTCTTTTATTGAACATTCAGGAATAGACGACGGTTGGTTAGAAGCTGATGTTTATGGCCCTAATACAATAAGGCAAATTATTAATTGCTCCCACATGAAGAGATCTGTGTCTGCGCATGAAACAACACTAGTTATCTTGTATAAGTTTTATTTCATCGGACTGCAAGCAAGATTTCCAGAAAAATTTCTTGGACCATCCGGTAGTTTGTATCAAGCTATAAATGATCAGGTGAATAACTGCCGTCAACAAAGTAAGGAGAGTGTTCAGAGTGGCCACAACAAGTTGCAACAAGAAATTCAGTCCTGCTATTTAATTCAAACAATGGACTCCTTTGACAACTGTATGAAAAGCAACCAAATGTTCCAGTTTCTAAGAGTGTATATGCGAATGATTGAACGCCTTCTGCTGTTTATTCAAGCAACTCGCCAACGGGATTGGAAGCTTCACTTAGAGGCATCAACACTAATGTGTCAAGATATATGCAGTATGGACCGTATAAAATATAGAAGAATGTTACCTGTCTATATCGCTGATATGAAAAGGTTGAAACAATCTGACCCTGGAATATGGAACGCTTTCATGAATGGAGAATTTTCAGTGAAACAGAACTCGATTCCGTTCACATCGATTGGAATGGATCATGCCGGTGAACAGGTGAATAAAATTATGAAGGTAGGTTTGATTGGAATTTCCAACAACGAAAATGCGCGAACACGATTTTTTCTGGTAGCTCCAATCCTTGCCGATATTTCAAAGGGATATTTAAACAACTTGTCATTGCAATCGTGTCACTCTTCAGCACACCATCAGAATAATGCATTTTTAAGAGACGTCAAACTGATACATTACGAAAGTTCGAAAACACGTTTGGAGAAGAATTAACAGATATTTTTTCATTTCCATCATGGAACACAACAACTTCAGATGGATGTGTACCATCAGTGCAAATTTCAACTTTCTATCTTTGATAGTCTTCGAACGGCAGCCTGTCAAAGTTTTGGTCTTCACCCCAAGCAATGCAACTGGACTCTATAGTGAGACTGCCGACCCCCACCCCTCCACTAAAATGGCCATAACTTCGCCAATTTTGACGCTAGAGGTATAATGTTTGCTTCTAAAGAAAGTTGATCATGTCCCCTATCTATTTCAGTCAAAACCAGAAATTCGGAATTTTTTCAAACTTTGAAGAAAATCGACTTTGAATTTCCACCCGAATTTTCATGTGGAAAATGTAGTCCAGACTATTTTTAGAAATCTTCTTTCTCTCTCCATTTTGACGTTTTTGCATGCCTCTTCTTGAGTAATTTTTCGTCTAGATTTGGAATTTGATGTCTGAAATTGCATTATCTTTAAGATTTGTTGAGATGATGAGAGACTTAAAGGCGGAAGACTAATTCAAAAAATAGTCGTTTTGTGACCTGCCAAACTCTAGCGGATGAGTATAACCGGTAGTAGTCTATTCTAAATTTTAGTAGCTCAAACTTTTCATGGTCATCATATATTGAATTTTTGGAGACATTAAGGATTGGTCAGGCTTTCATTCGACATATTGGAAAGCTTTCAACGAAATTTCTGGAAAAAGTTGTAGAAGGTTGAATTTCGTGTTGAATTTAGACTTATCTCCCTTCATTTAAGTAATTCTGACAAAAATATATTCTTTAATTTTGTGCTATTGGTTTGGGCTCCAGAGGGGATTCACTTCCGAAAGACGAACTGCAAAATTTCTTCATCGATATCGCTAGTCATAAAATAATTTATCATGAAATACGCTAGACCTAGATCTTTGTCATATCCAGAAACAATTTTTACATGGACAAATATATACCTCTCTGACCTGCAATTTTGAATGAAAGAGTGGGGGGGATGATTAAAATCCGAAGCCACTACCTAGGTCGAATACGACTTTCAGGTGATCAACTTTCGATAGCTTCGAGCCACCACTATACGAGAAATCGATAGCAGTGTAAGGGTGGCTGCAAAGGAAACGGAAATACTAGCCTGCTAATCATAGTTTACATATTTTTCACTCCACAGTCGATTTTTAGTCCAGAAAAGAACAACAAATGCATGTTTTATCCGTATTTTTACTTCATCGATAAAAAATAGGCTTAAAGAAGGAAATTGGCTACATTTGTCTATAAAGCGAGAAAGGAGATAAGACCAGTGGTGCATACTGCCTCGCACATGTAGTAATTAACAATAATGACGTCGTGTAATCTGATATGACGAGTATAGTTATTAGCCCAATATGTACCGAGAACCGACAAGTGGAATAACTCTGTACAGGTGAATAGCAGTGGTTTCCATGTAGAATACTATGACATGGTCCACACATTTCATCATTGTAACACTATAATAGTATTATCGAGTTGCTTTCTTGAATGCATAATATATACGTTTATATTGATATAGCGTGTGCTAGTCCAATATTTCAATTTATATGAAAAGAATTGGTTTCTTGTTGGCCAGGAAATAAGAGCATACAAATGATGATTTTCCATCGTGGTGTTAAGTCATGTGATCAAATCTACCTAGTCTGCATTAACTATACACTGTAGGTTTAGATTATTTTCTGGTCGTGAAGGAACGAGTATTTTATGATGTAAGTCAGCAGGCACTATAGAATCTTATGTTTTAACCTCTTGGCTACCCTCTAGGTTTATCAGGTAAGTCGCCATATTTTTATACTCTAGATGTACGCATTGTGTGCTTTTTACTTTCTTTTACTCAAAACTGGTTGTCATTTTGTGCAGAGCTAATTGATCACTGAATAAGTCTATGACATTTCAGGCACACACTGATTCAAAACACTGATTTGCACGATCTAAATCGGTAATAATTAACACCATGACACAAGAGTCAATTCTACCTAGGTATTCAATGAGTACTGTATTATTCATGTACATAAAAAGTAGAAACAATATCCTTGGAATTCTAGTTTGCCCGTTGTATTTTGATTACCTTCGCTCGCAGATAATCGTTCTCTGAAGGTTTCTTTAAAGGGAGAGATCACCATTTGCGGGTATTGATTTGGGCATTGACTTTATGTAAATAGTCTTCAGACTTACGAGACATGTACGAAAATCGCATAATTTCTTCAAAAAATACCCCAGACTAAGAATTTTAGTTTCTTCTTCTATATATATCTATTTAACTTTCAAACGCAGATAATTCTGGATTCATAATTTGAATGCTCAAATTTCGACGGTGAGCTGTTAACTCTAATACTTTTTAGCTATTCGAAATACTTCCCCTATCAAAGATATGATTGGTCAAACCGATGTCGAATCTGTTCCTTCAAGAAATTGAAGAATAAATAGATATTCTACAACCTGATGTGAAGTATGTAGAGGAAATTACGCTATGTAAACAATGTATATTGCTATAAATAAGTTCCGCTACTACTGATAAAATATGACGGTGTCAAAATGACATATTAACTTGTCTATATATTCAATTCGTTTCTGTTATTTGTCTGTCAATAAATACAGTCATCCCCACTCACTTTCAGCAATAAATATTAAATTATCCATATGTTATGTTTATACCCAAGAAAATTAAGATTATTTATGGAGTTTGGTAACATACGATAAAAATTAAACATGAAAAAGCATAAAAATATCCGATCAAACATAAGTTACAAAGAACCGTACAATGGATATAGATTTCGTGGAAGGGAGGGTTAGATAAAGCAAATGTACAGGGCTAGGATGGAACAAATACTTCAAGAAAATGGAATAAACGGACTGTAACTACTAGCTATAATAGAGATAAGTTGTTAAGATATCATAATGAAAAGTTATTTAGCTATCACAGAGATTTTATGGTTAGCTATCTATAGAAATAAGTTGTTAAGCTATCATAGCAATAAGTTATTTAGCTATCGCTATCATAGAGATTATATGGTTTGCCATCTATAGAGATAAGTTGTTTAGCTATCATAGAGATTGGTTGTGTAAAGATGAGTTGTATAGCTATCAAAGGGATCAGTTGTTTAGCTATCATAGAGATGAGTTGTTTAGCTATCTTTTAAAAAGTCTTTTATTTCATCAGAAATATTTCAGCATTCGATCATTAATGGTATCAGATGACAATTTGAAATCGAATTTATTTGTTCACATCACAAGTTCGATATTAGATTTTGTATATATATATTACTTTATATCTTTATAGATGATAGTTTTGATTGGTAATTGATCAATGTGCCACTGCAGCAATCCGTCATACTTCGGTTATTTTTAGCAGCTGATCAAAATATAACCTTTATTTAGGAAATGTTATGATCTATCCCTCTTTTGTATTCAGTTATGATCAAATCAGACTATATATTGGCCGATGTCATGGCCCTTTGAGATTTCAGTCTCTATCAAAGTATTTGTACTGCTGCTAGTTTAACACTGGCTCACTAACCATCGGATTGGGAATTAGATGCCGGTAAGGGCCTTGAGGATACGTTTGGTTTTTCAAACCGGTTGCCACTGTTACTTATACACGTCTGGGAAGTTGAAAAGAGCCTTCATTTAGTCGTTTGCATGGGTCAATAAATACTACAGGCTCTGCAACTGAAAGATCACTGCCAATCGGGAAAGGAATAGGCATATACTTCTGTATAGTAAAATTACATGAAAATGTTTAACAAATAAAAAATTGTTATGCTGCTTTCAGTTGTTCTGTATAATTGATGACGAATGTGACAATTTACATTGATGTGAAAAGAGTAAACATGACTATTAATATTTTTTTATACAAAGTGTACGTTGTTTTGCTGACCTATTACATGTTAACATGGAAAGGGTATTATTAACAATGGTAAACATCTGTTCAGGATGTCACTTGTCAATGAAAGAATTTCTCTTTTTATTCTGGAAACTAAAGGTATTTCGTAACTGATGTTTTTCTTCTGGAGTGAGTGCATTCCAAATGTTATGGTTCAGGGGTTAAAACCTTGTGATTTGTGTTGTCCATGCCATCGGTAAGCCCTTATCACATACGTGTTTTAAAAAGGATCCACTACCACAATAAATAATTTAATAAAACTACCCTTCTAGAAACTTATACTCTTTGGATTTGATCAGTGAAGCAGGTACTGCCACAGCCGATGGTTCTTTTAAGTAGAATTTTTTCTTTTTATATGAAAAATACAATACAAAGACTTGACCTTTAGTCCGCAACAGTTCGATATTGGATTTTGCCAACATTGATGCTTTTTATTGGAGTAACCTTTACGGCTAAGATTAAGTAATTAATCAGGCAAGTGATATGTTATTCCTTATTAATTACTAGCTTATTTCCCGATGGCGAAACCATAAATAAATCTTTGGTTTAAAGAGTACAAATTGTCATTGGCCTAGGAGTGACTGGGCAAGGCTTATTGGGTGCAGTTTTGCTTAGAGCAGTGTACAGAATAATTTCGATACGTTTTTGTTTGAAATTGATTTTGAAATGGTATTCTGTCGACTTGCAGTTCTAAGAATCTCATTGGAATCTCATCAAGGAGACAATCATGTCCAGAAATTGACCGACTATTGCGATAAAGTAATTTGTCAAAGATTTCTTCCACCCAGGACGACAAGATCGAAATTTTGCTTGTAAACTGAACATGATTTTTCAGTCGTCTCTTACGATGCTCTTAAGATGCTGTCAGTCACTAGTTCGATTTGAATACCCTGTGGTTTCCAAAACTTATTTACAATATCCTTTATAGAATAATATATTCAACATCCACATAACATTTGACGAGAGAACCCGAAGAAAGATATCGTCAAGAAGAAATCGTTGTTAATAATTCGCTCGTATGAAAGAATCGTGCGTAAATTATGTCATATATCCAGGACAGATGGATTGTTCTGTGAACGAAAGAAAATGGTCATATATTTATCTGCAAGATTTTTAAAAAGATTTACTCTTGATTTTCTGTTGGCAAATGTTGTAATTATATTACAGTTCCTGACAAAATCAATATAATTTAACACAAAACAGTATAAGTTTTAAAGAGAGTAATGTTTTTCAAAGATTCCTGGCTGGAGAAACCTATACATTATTGAGTTTATGATTGTATTCATAATCTGAAGAATTATGGTGGGGAGGTTATATAATGATAAACACAATTATCTGGTAATTATTTTTATAGAATTGATTTTAGAAGAGAAAATCAATGTATCTACTGTATTTCCTATGTCGTATAAA